GCAATGGATAAGGTACTTACATTCCAAGGAAAGGAAGGAAGGAAGGAAGGAAGGAAGGAAGGAAGGAAGGAAGGGAGGGAGGGAGGGAGGGAGGGAGGGAGGGAGGGAGGGAGAGAGAGATGGAAAGAATTTAAAAGACTCTTGGATAAAATGTTTATAATTCAATTTTAATGCATTGTTAGATAAATTTTCAAAAAGTTTATATTTTTTAAAGTGATGAATTTTAAATATTCTTTTATTTGCCCTAATATAATAAACCAAATATGTCATTCTAAAGAACAAATAAACAATACAGTCGTTAAGGCTCTTGCCTTATACTCAGCTGACCCAGGTCCAATTCCTGGCACCCCCCCCCCCACACACACACACCCATATGGTCCACCTAGCACTGCCAGAAGTGATCCCTAAGCATAGAACCAGATGCACAAACCAAAATAATCCAAATTTTTGTGGGTCCATAGTAATGATTCAAAGGGTAGGCTTCTTATATGGGAACCCTGGGTTTAATCACTGGCACCTCATGATCCCCTGAGCACCAAGCTGGGAGAGGCCCCACGCATATCCAGGTTTGGCTCTGGAACAAAATCAAAAGTCAAAAAAAGAAGAAAAAAAGCCTCATGAGACCTGGTCTAGGAGCAGAGTGCTTGTGACCCTGGGTTTAACCACTGGCACCACAGAAACAAGCAAACAAACATACACAAACACCCTCATTAGACAGGATTGAGAGAGCCGATGTGTAGTGAGGCACAGATTCTCCCACCTCCTGCTTTGTGCATATTGAAATCATTGGCGCACTTCTGAAGATCACTGACAGTAAGAACCATTTCCTGGGGGCTGGGGCGATAGCACAGGGGGTATGGCGTTTGCCTTTCACATGGTCAACCCAGGTTCGATTCCCAGCATCCCATGTGGTCCCCTGAGCACTGCCAGGAGTAATTCCTGAGTGCAGAGCCAGGAGTAACCCCTGTGCATCACCAGGTGTGACCTAACCCCCCCCCAAAAAATAAAAATTATGTTGGGATTTACTTTTGTGAGGGCAAAGTATGCACACCCATCTTCCTCATCTCCCACACCAAACCCTTAAGAGGAAAAAAAACTAGGGCTGGAGCGATAGCACTGCCCGTAGGGCATTTGTCTTGCACAAAGTTGACCAGGGTTTGATTCCCAGCATCTTATATGGTCACCCGGGCACCACCAGGAGTAATTCCTGAGTGCAGAGCCAGGAGTAACCCCTGTGCATCTCCGGGTGTGACCCAAAAGCCAAAAAAAAAAAGGTGAAACAAAACTGGGGCAAATAATACAATAGTGGAGGCTCTTACTGTGGTTGACTCAGGCTAGATTCCCTGCACCCCAGGGGTAGTCAATCCCTGAGAATGGCCACGTGTGGCCCAAATTCCCCCACCCCAAATGAGATGGAACAAAAGAGCATTTTTGCCGACAGGTAAACTGCATCCTCCTTTCCAGCAATTCATCCCCTAAACATGCCCTCAAGCTACCCCTGTCCTCATTGCACGTGGATGGAAGGCAGGGCAAGAAATGAAGTACTTCAAGTAAACAGCTTGAGGTGAGCCTTGTGAAGTTTAGACAGTGGCAATGCTGCCCTCTTGTGGCAAATAAACAAAACATTGCAAGAACAGCGTGCACGCTGCATAAACTCCTTTAATCTCAAAAGAACAAGCCAGGGATCAGCCAGCCGCAAATCAGTCTAAACAACTTCTCTGATAGTTCGCTAACGTAAAGTATGGTTATAAAGTCAATTTCATTATTCCATTTGTTCACACGAGACAAAGGAAAGTATGCCGCCCTCATCTAAGGCAGACAAGCCAATGTAGGGGAAAGTTGGTTCAATTCCAGCTCTAAACATGGAATTCAGGGCTTAAATAATAATAAGGTTCTTTTCGAGTCTAAAACATGTCAATTAATATAAATTTTCTTATATTCAAAACCTTTATAGTTACGGGCATATCAGTATGTAGACGAGATGGCAAATAGGCTTTAAAAAAAAGAAAAAGAAAACTCTGCATGATCTAAGGAAAAAGTCCTCCTAATTTTAGCTGTCAGCAGATGGGAGTGGGGTGTGAAAAGCAGCTTCCCTGCCTCTGCTCCATGCCCCTGCTCTGAAGCGAAGCCGCCCAGTGAGCAGGGACTGCCCACTCACACGGAGCCCACAAGCAGGCCTGCAGCCAGATAAGAGGCAGAATGTGGAAACAAAAATCTTACTGAGGCAGATGAGTCCCGCACCCGCCACCAGTTACCAAGTCCTTTGTGATTATAATCAGACACCATGCAGTTACCAGGTATTGAGAAAAATATATATTAGCACAAGATAGAATCATGGGAAGTGAAACAAGAACCCTTTCAAAACAGAATGACCAGACTAAAAAGGTTTCAATAATGAATACTGAGTAAGAGACAAGGAACATCAAGCAGTCTGGTTACGACTGTGAAGGAAGAAGCACAGGGGAAAGGAGGAGCATCGGATCACACAGCTAGTTTTCATTTGTCCTTTTCCGTATTGCCCACCAAAGAGGGAGTCCATAGATAATGGAAACACTGGGGATGAGAAATAGTAAGATATAAAGAGGGAGTTCCGGTTGGGTAACTTCCTCTTTGGCCCCTCACCTGTGCTCAGGCACAGAACAGAAAAGTACCAGATCTCACACGTGGCCTGAGAATCCAGAAAGCCCAACAGACAAAGAGCCTCTGATCTATGGAGCTTAAGAGAGAGGCCCCAAGGTCCAGCAACAGATAGAGATGACACCAGCAAGGGTACAGAGGGTTCTGGATTTGATTCCATAAGTAAAAAATACAAAGGCAAAAATATACAAATGAGATTAAATCAAAAGATTCTTCTCTACTGCAAAAAGAACGGTAAAGGTAAAGGTAAAGGCCCTCCCGTTGATCGTCGATTTGCTCGAGCGGGTCCAGTAACGTCTCCATTGGAGACTTTGTTGTTACTGTGTCTGGCATATCGAATACTCTCGGTAGCTTGCTGGGCTCTCCGAGAGGGGCGGAGGAATCGAACTCGGGTCGGCCATGTTGGCCGCGTGTAAGGCGAACGCCCTACCCGCTGTGCTATCGCTCCACACTGGAAGAAAAATGTCTTATTGAATGGGAGGAAATATTTGAACACGCTTATCTGACTGGGCAGGATCTGGTCTACAGCGGGTAGGACATTTGCCTTACACGCAGCCGACCTGGGTTCAATTCCTCCATCCCTCTCCGAGAGCCCGCAAGCTACTGGAGTATCGTGCCCGCCTGGCAGAGCCTGGCAAGCTCCCCGTGGTGTATTCAATATGCCAAAACCAGTAACAAGTCTCAATGGAGACATTACTGGTGTCCACTCGAGCAAGTCCATGAACAACGGGAGGACAGTGTTATTCATCTGACTAATGCCTAACAGGCAAGATGTATATTAAGAACTAACAAAATTCAACAATGACAAAAAAAAACATGACAAAAACTGAGAAGTGCTGAACAGTTAATCAAAGAAGATAGACAAATGACCAACAGGCATATGAAAAAATGTTCACTACACTGATTATGAGGGAAACGCACATCAAAATGAAAATGAATGATGTCTTCACATCAGTGAAATAGTTTCTATTTTCACAGAAAAAACAACTGTGAGTGGTAGTGTGGAGAAAGAGAATTCCTCATTCATTGATGATGATCTCACGGATATGTGAGATAAGAAAAACAAAGCAAGGGAACAGACAAGATCCAATAAAAACAAACTCTTGGACTCTGACAACAGAATTGAAGTTACCAAAGGTTGGGGACAAAAGGGGAGTGTGCTGAAAGGCAGGAAGGATCCAATGAGCTGGAAGGATTTTGCACTTTGGCGGGGGGTATGGTGTGATAATCTTCCACAAACCCCTAAGAGGCATAAACATTTGTAGACTTCTAAACCAATGTCACTCTGATTTAAAAACGTTCTTCTATAATGTATTAAAGTTTCGTGGCTGGAGCAATGGTACAACGGGTAGGGCATTTGCCTTGCACACGGCAGACACGGGTTCGATTCCCAGCATCCCATATGGTCCCCCCAAGCACCACCAGGAGTAATTCCTGAATGAAGAGCCAGGAGTCACCCCTATTCATCTCCAGGTTTGACCCAAAAAGCAAAAATAGAAAGTATTAAAGTTTCATACTCACATAGACTATTAGTACAGTATATGTATACATTGATTTTGGGGAAACTAGTTTGGCAAATATACTAGGAATTCCATTAATTAGAATCACTTCTCAAAAAAAAATTATACCTGCACAGAGAGTTGACATGCAAAAGGAAGCTCATAGCAGCCATTATAACCACTATAGAAAAAATTGCTGAAATCACACAAATGTATAAACAGCTGAATAAAACACTTTGCAAACATTTTGTTACGTAGCTTATCCCTCATCCCCAACCCACTTCTACTTCTTTCCTGAGTAGACAAAGAACAAGATCATTCTAAATAAATAAATAAATTATCAAAACAATACTCAAAGTTAAATACATGTCTTTGATACAAAGACAAGAAACATTAACTTCCATATACCTCAAGAAGGAATGTGGTATGCAAAATAAGCTCATTCTCACATTTTTTTTTAGTTCTTCCAAAACCTAACTTTTTTTTTTTAATTTTTATTAGTGAGACACCATGAAGTACAGTTGTAGACTTACAAATTTTTGTGCTTGGGTTTCAATTATACAATGATCAAATACCCATCCCTCCACCAGTGCCCATTTCCCACCACCACGGATCCCAGTATTCCTCCCACTCCCCATTTTCCCCCCCATCCCACCCTGCTTCTGTGGCAGGGCAAGAAGGGAGCATCATTCTTACATTTTAAAATGAATTTTTTTCAAAAAATTTATCTCATTTAGTAAGCATTAAGAAGTCTAAGACATGTAAAATGTTCATTTGGAAAGTATACCTATTGCTGAGGCAATAATTTACAATGTAATTTTAAATTACAATTTCAATTCATAACAATAAAAGAAATATTCTTACCTTCCAAATTTTCAATTTTTTCAATGTTATTCAAAGCTAAATTCAAATATTCAAGTTTCTTGAGCTTGCTAACATTTTCTGAAATATACAAATAATGTGATTATGCTTTTATATAATCTTTATGAAAATTGTAATATAATCTAGAGCTTCTATGATGATAAAAAATATTTTGCCCTAAATGCATATTTGTACAATAGACATTGCTAGTTGCCTATGCAACGTCCATTTTTCTGATCATCCTAGGCATTTGATGATCAACAGTTCCGTACGTAGTCTCTATGCACAGGGAAATATGACAGTTTCTAGTCTCCAACTTAAGTAGGTAACATTGTTGCTCTTAAAATTATCAGTCTAGCATTCATTTGTGGGATATACTTAAAAAAAAGTATGAAGCTAATATCCAATGCCAGGAGGATTGGTCAGTGGTTGGATATTAGCATAAGTGTGTGTGTGGGGTGGAGAGTTGCTACGATAAAGAAAGGTTCAGTATGACAACCATAGTTGGAAATGATAGCTCCGGACAAGAATTGACGGTTGAAGGGGTTGAAAGTAGGTAAAGGTATATACTTGATAATTTTTCAGTATCTGTATTGCAAACCATAATGCCCAAAATGTGCACATGCGCATATGGGCACAAGGAGGAGACAGAGAGAGAGAGAGAGAGAGAGAAAGAGAGAGAGAGAGAGAGACAGAGACAGAGACAGAGACTGAGACAGAGAGACAGAGACAAAGAGAAAGAGACAGAGACAGAGAGAGACAGAAAGAGAGAGAAGTGAAGCGCCTGCTATAAAGGAAAGCTGTGGGGAGGGGTGGATGGGGGGACAGTGACAGGGAAACTGAGGGCATTGGTGCTGGGAAACATACACTGGTGGAGGGATGGGAGTTGGAACATTGTATGACTGAAACCCAATCAAGAACAGCTTTGTAATGCTCTATCTCACGGTGATTCAATTTAAAAAAAAAAAAAAAAAGTTGTCAGGCTACACTAAAACAACTGCTACTTCAACACATTTGTTATATGGATGACTTTGCATACATAAAAAAGAATCACCTGGTAAGGAAAAAAAAAGACCCAAAAAGGCAAGACTGGTTTGGGGAAAAAAATTCTAACTTATCAATAATAACAGTGGCCAAATGGGTCCAGAAGTAAAGGTTCTATAAATAAAAATGTATACAGAGTGTCTGGGGCAGCAGGAAATGAGTCTATTCCACCCAACAATCCTGGAATCAGTCCTTGCCAACTGTTCAAACCAGACTAACAAATTTAGAATGGACCAAATGCCACCTTAATTCAAGAAGCTCCTAGGCTGGAAGTATCTTCCAGGCCTGAGGCTCACCAGGAAGACTATTATCAATGTGGATTTGGGGAATCCACCCACACAGGTTCTGAGTCAGGGGTGGGGCCTGAGCTCATTGAAGCCAGTTCTGCGTTCCACTTGGATCCTCACCAAGTAGCCCCTTCACAGTCCATCTGCATCTCCCAGGGAGGAACAGAACTTTAGGCAAGGCAGTTGTGTTGCAGACTTCTACCTCAGTGACACAAGAGCAGGGCTGAATCCTTGCTAAATGGTTTTACTTGTTAAATAAATGCTGAAATGCCTATGGGTGGAGAAGCTCTGAAAAAAATTCCATTATTAGGATTTAAAATAGTGTTTAATTTAAGAATACGTTGGAAGCAAAAATTTTAGCTCTCTCACAGCTCTGAAAAGGCCTGTAATACTATGCTGCTAATTAGTCATTGTGGTGGACCCAGCTGTCGAAATTAAAATTTGGGGAAACTCTTTTAGATCCATACAATTAGGACAGCTCTTCATGTCCCCTTGCAGAAAGGCTGGTGGTTTTCTCTAACAGCCTTTTTAATTGAACAATGTTTCAGTTTTCCTCACTTCTGGCCCAAGTAAAAAGAAGCTGAAAATAATTTTCTGAAGAAATAGAAAGACTTTTAATAATTCTTCAAAATGATGCAAATTCTAGACTTTTTGCAATCCTCCAGCCAATTCCAAATTACCCATGAAACAAGGAGCAGCCACATCACCCACCAGGGTTTTTTGACCTAAGCAATACTAACACTTTGGGCTCCATAATTTATTCTGGGGGCTGGGAATGAAAAGTGGTGAGGGGGGAGTGCGGAGGGTTCCTGTGTACTGTAGGATGTTAGCAGATCTCTACACAGGACAAGTTAGTCGCTGCCCTCCCTCACTCCAAACACACTTACATTTAGGACAACTAAAAGTATCTCCAGACACTGCCAAATGGCATTACTGAGGTCACTGCATATCGGAATGGAAAATTAAAATACAACCTGAAAAGCTGACTTCTGTGCTTGAGTGCCAGAACAGGGGTTGCTACTCATTCTAATTCATCAACCCTGGAATCACTGTTTTCTCACACTCTGCTTTCCTTCCTGCTTCCTTTCTGTGGTTCCCCTGAGGCAAACAGGGGTAAATAGCAGTTAATAATAGTAGCAGCTCAGTAGCTGGAAGCCTGCCTCATGAGCAAAGGGGAGAAGGCAGCTGGAATAGAGAAGGGATCACTAAGAAAAAGATGGCTGGAGGAATTGGTCGGGATGGGAGATGTGTGCTGAAAGTAGATAATGGACCAAACATGATAACCTCTCAGGGTCTGTATTGCAAACCATAATGCACAAAAGTAGAGAAGAGATTATGGGGGATCATGTCTGCCATGGAGGCAGAGGGAGGGTGGGAAAGGAGGGGTAGACGGGGGATATTGGTGGTGGGGAATCTGCACTGGTGGAGGGATGGGTGTTTGATCATTGTGTGATTGTAACCCAAACATGAAAGCTTGTAACTATGTCAATAAAATTTTTAAAAAATTCAATCACAATCAATCACAAATCATCCTGTTATTCGTCGATTGCCTCGAGCAGGCCTCAGTAACGTCTCCTTCATCCTAGCCCTGAGATTGTATTCAAGGCTCTTTAGGAGAATGAGACCCATCATTGTTACTGGTATTTGGCATATTGGGTACGACACAGGGAGTTTGCCAGACTCTGTCGTGTGGGCAGGCTACATTTGGTAGCCTGCCTGTTTGTCCAAAGTAGGAATGAGATAATAAGATGTCATAAAAAGATGTCGCACAGCTGGTTTTTATAGTCTCTGAGTCTTGGCCGTTGATGGGATTACACGGCGCCAGGGGGCCAGTTGGTGGGTGTGACCACCGCCTACTGGAATTTGGAGGATCTGGGTGGAGGATGCTCGGCCCAAATCCGAGTAGGCTTGGAGATCTCGGCCCCAGAACCTGCGTGACTTTGTCTCTCTGCCAGTACCTTCATGTGTGAGGAAAGTGGTCTCAGCATGGTGGTGGCTGGTCCTGGAGGTCTTTGGCTGCCGGAGCCCTGGTCAGGGCGGGGAGGAAAGCTCAACCCACTCCCCTCCAAGGGGTCCGGGTGAGGACAGCCAGGCGCGGGGGCAGGAGACTGCACTGTTCTCTTCCGGGAGCTGGTTTTTATAGTCTCTGAGTCTTGGCCGTTGATGGGATTCAAAAGGGACATTGCTGAGGTTCATAGAGTCTGCCGGGGAGCAACACTGCCCTCCCCAATAAACTTCTTCTATTTCCTTCACTTTACTGTCTCTGTCTGTGTCAGGTGAGATTATGGACCTATCACTTTCCTGTCTCTCCAACTCCCCCGCACTCTGGGCTGACAAAAAAAATTAAAATAAAAATAATAGTAGCAGCCACAGCAATCACCAGCCAGTGACTAAACACTTGCTTGTGATCTCATGCAGGCCTTATATTGCTGCTGTGTTAGATGTTAATATCCCTGTTTTATAGATACAAGACTAAGCCTGGGAGGAGTTCACTATCTAATCTCACCCAATTTCCAAGAAGCAATGTAGTGTTTAAAGATTTACTAAGGTCGGGGCCTGTACTTTTGGGGGTGATGGACCTCCCAAGCAGTGCTCAGGAAGTCCTCTGGCAATTCCCACTGTTACTTGGCCAACTAGACTAGTGGCTCATTGTGAGGGTCTAAGGAAATTCTGATGCTTGGGACTTGCAGTGTTGGCCACCATCCCAGAACTACATGGTGGTTTCTAGAGGCACCATGAGAGATGCTTAGAGGCCTCCAGGGTTATACCTGGTGATGCCTGCAAAGCCATGTAGTGCTTGGAATTGAACCCATGTCAGGCACATGCTCTCATGTACTATTTCCTAGATCATTTTATTCTTACCACTAAACTATAATGTTGCCCTAATGAGTACTGGGAGATACTCTTGCTGTTTCCATATGGCAAAATCTCCCAAAAGAATGACTCTACAGGCCTCCAATCTCTCGATTCCTCAACTCATCCCTCCCTGGAAGGATTATAGGGAGGAAAAACTTCACTGATGGATGAATTAGGAAAAAAACAGGCATACCTAGTCCAACCCTCTGTCCTAGCTTTTGGGATCATCTTGCCAGCACAAAACAGTCATAGCTCCCTTCTACCAGTATAGATAAAAGAATGGTTGTCCACATCTGCACATGACTCCTTAGAAAGATTTAAATATTGAAGGTAGTATTATGAAGCTCCTTTGGTTGCAAAACTTTCCAAAGAGTTTTAATTAGTATGCTCATGTTTTGACTTTTGTTCACCTAACTTAAATGTTTATCTCTCATTTCACTCAAAACTGATGCAGTAAATCTGTGGAAGTCCCTCCATACCCAATACTGAGCTCAATGGCTTGAGAGATACATTCTTAAAACACAGAACAGGACTAGCTATCATAGGACCTGATAATCTGACATGAAATTACATAACTCACACATCACTTTAGTTTTCTAGGGAAATACAAAACCGTAACACATGCCTATATTATATCCTCATCCCTTTCGAACATTTTTTTAAAAATCAGGCTACTGGATTAAACTGATAGCCCAAAAGGGCTAGAGCTTATACCTGACATCTATGACAACCCCATGTTCAATACATGGACAATGGAGCTGTCTAAGAACCATTAGGTATAGGCTTGGTGTCCCCTGAGCACTTCTGGATATGGCCGTGGTGGTACCTAAGGACTGCTGTGCCGGAATAGCACCACATCTCAAGACCAACCATTCAAGTTTCATTGAAGATAATGAATTGAATTCAGTCAGCCTTCATTCAGTACAGCCTGGCCTACTTTTCAGAGGCCTTAGGTCCTCTAAACAATGCTTGGAAATCCCCTGGCATCCAAATCAGGCTATAAATAAGCTAGTCAACAAACATATTGCTGTTAGTTCATCTGCTGCTTCCATCTCTGATGGAACTCCCTAGGGATAAGAAGATGGATCACATGTGGAAAGATTAGGGATATGCCCAACACAACTCCTGAGATATGGCTGTGTCTGCTTCTGAGGTGTTTTTTTTTTTTGCTTTTTTTGTTGTTGTTGGTGGTGGTGGTGGTCTTCCTCTAAGATGTTTTCCCACCGAACTATGTACTATGTTTTCCCACTGAAAAATATTAAAGAAACTATGAGAGTAAGGTCTTGAAAACTTACCAATTTTTCCAATGAGATTATTTTGAAGATAAAGGATTTTTAAATCCCGGCACCATTTGTCAATATGTTCTAATTTCTCTATTTCTTGCTGATGCAAGGAGAGTTCCTCCAGGGAAAAAATTACACAGTCATTGTGTTCAGCATTCCGTCTAATAAGATCTTCTGTGACTGAAAGAAAATTTGTTGCATATTACATCTGCATCTCTGTGTTTGTCATCAGGTTATTACATTATTAATGCATTGGGTATTCTTTGCAGTTAATTTCAATTCTCCAGGCCCAAGTGATTTTCAGAAGGCAAGAGATCCAAGGAGTAAATTTTTCCACTGGTGTTTCGGTGATGCAATAGGGAGTCAGAGAAGAATGAAACATGATGAGAACTTTTCTCCTTTTTAGCCAGAGTCTACATACATTTTGATATGTCACTGGAATCAGAGTTGATAGTTATAAGAATGTGGGCATGGAATCTTTAGGTTATTTGTAGAACTGTGTGACTCACACTAAGTGAACCATAACTGAGCAACTTGCAACATCAGGTTGTTAGGGGGCAGAAATATGAATGTATTTTCTACCACTCGATCAGGAAATAGTCATTTATTCATTCAACCAATATTTATTCATTTAAAATCAGAGAGAAAGGCAAGAAACATCTCAGATTGTTCTGTTTTCAGGAGGACCCAAAGATTCCACTCATTGTGAGAACAGACTTGAGGGTCTTTTCCCTTTGACAAGAGTGATGCAAGGCACTGAGCTGGCCTGACTCAGCAGATCAGGACCAAGAGTGGAGGAAGATATCTAGGCTTAGAGGATCTTGTGCCATAAGAACAAGACCATAAATTAACTCCATAAGATGCACTAAAATCAAAGAGACACTTAAAATGAAGAAACCACACAGTTCCTATATGCTAAAACATTAATCCACCTGAACTTTCAATTTTAAATGGAATTATAAATTCTCTATCGCCAATAAAAAATGTTTATTGCTACTTTATTAGTCGTCCAACACTTCTCTAAATACTTTCCATCTATTCATATATGTGTAGGTATAGTATACATTTTTCAGAAAAGAACTGAGGCACAGAAAGTCTAAGTTAGGTGCCCAAGGACTTCAACAAGTGCCAGAGCCAACATCTTTTAATGTAAGAGTTTGGTAGCCAACCATATGCTATTAACCACTGTTAATTGTACTGTTCCAAATTAAGCAAAGAAGAATCCCTTGAGATGTCTCAGGTTCCCTAAATGTGCAAGCTCTTCTAGCTGAGATGAAATTCTTTTCATCTGACCCATTAGTGGGCCACATCCTCGAGAGCAGGTTGTGCCTTTTAAAAAGTGTGTATTGAATGTGATCATTTGTGTGCAATTAGCTACACATTTTTATTGCCAGTTTCAGGCTATCAATAACAGAGACTATGATTAGATTAGCCCCTGTAGTTATATTTACATATGCCCTCCAGAAGTAGCCATGAGAAAACTGAGAAATTAAGGATTGTAGAGAAAAAGAAAGATAGGGGAAGAGAGAAAGAATTCAAGACAATGAAAGAGAGGAGTATATGTACAGATTTCTACTTTTTTTGGACATGAGGATAGGATCTATGGTTTCATAGGATCAGTCCATATGTTTTAAACATAAGAACAGGAATTTAAAGTGCAGTAAGACTAGAAAACAAGTGCCCAAATGATCAATTACTGAAAATAATCATAATCTTTAAAACAAAGGCAACTCAGTGTGGAAGTAGGGTCTGTCTGTAGCTGTCAGTGTGTTTACTAATGACTAATAATATTCTATTTTACCATGCCTCTTCTCACTATGTCCCTATTCTACTGACTGAACTCTAGCCTCACATACTGTGGCCTTCCATTAATATGATTTTCACCTGTACCCCCATTGGAATATTGTAGTTCTCTCAGGAAGCCAAATATCCTCCAGTTGTGACACAACATTGTAGACAATCAATTCTCTTTAAATGGGAGGCCTCTTTGAAGGAGATGCCTCAACAAACTTGCATTATGAAAAGAGAAATCCCAGTGAGTTTAACATTTGAAGGTACTTTTGAGGGTAGGAGATGAGGTTACATAGGATGACAGTTCTTCAGATGATAATAAAAATGTACAAGGGCCCCAAGTGTGCCTCTAGCCACTTTTTCTAAATTTACTTCTGAAGATAACTGAAGTCCCCAAGAAGAAATGTCTAAGAATATCCATTCTGTATATAGTGTTTATAAAGTTCATAGTGTTTCACACTTTAAACAGAAAAACATTTTTGAAGTTCTTGTAGTGTATAATTTAGGCTAAATATTTGTTAATTCCAGGGAGCATTATTCACCTTTTGAATGTCTATTCCAAGTATTACAGCTCTGCATTTGCAAGAAAATAATCTGAGGCATTAAAAAATGCTTTGAAGTAGACACTTCTCAACAAAGTAGGAATTGGGCTCCCATATGACCCAGCAATTCCACTTCTGGGCATCTACTCTAGTGCTCAAAACGCTCCATTTAGAAAAGGCATCTGCACGTATATGTTCATTGCAGCCCTATTCACAATAGCCAAAATCTGGAAGTAACTCAAGTGTCCAGGATGAGATGACTGGGAAAAAAACTGCAGTACATATTCATAATGGATAAATACTAATCACCCGTTTGAAAACAAAATGAAATCATGCAATTTTCTGCCACCTGGATGGTGCTGGAGAGTGTCATGATGAGTGAAGTCCATCAGACAGAGAGGGACAGACACAAGATATCCCTCATGTGTAGGTTACGAAGAAATAGAGACACACAAAAGCCCATACAAATAACACAACAGAAACGAAGACCTTGTTTTCAGTAGGAAGCTTACCACTGGGGTGGGAAGGGGGAGGGAGGGACCTGGGAAAATGGTGAAGGGAAGCAGACACTTGGGAGGAGGGTGTGATTCTGGAATAGTTCATGTATGAAATTCTATTAATAACAGTTTATAAATCACAGTGCCTCAAATAAATAAATTTTTGAAGATGCATTAAAAGCATCACTACATAATTATAAGACTATTTAAAAAATGTATATACTTGCACAATGTCCAATGTCCTATGTTATAGAAGAACATACTAAGATTCAAATAAAACATTTTCCATTTCTTTCAAGATCATATTTGAATCCTGAAAGCATTCAAATGACAAAATACAGATGGACTATAAGAATTTCACCCACTGGGGGTGCTGGTCACCAGTCTGACTAGAAGAATGAGTGGCTTATCATGAATATTGGCAATTTCAACCACAAATTCCTACCTATCTCATTAAGTATGCTGAAAAGTCTAAAGGGTTAACCAAAAGTGCTCAGCCAGTCTAGATGTCTTTTCAATTTCTTAATATGATTTGGTTTTTAATCATTTGAAGTAGAGTGTCAGTAAAATAATTTTGTAGTATAAGGGAATAAAAGGCAGGAAATAAGATTTTGCAATACTTTTTTTTATTACTGTGCTGTGTTTACTTCTAAGAAGCTTTTTTCAGTATATTGAATCAGCTTTTCAAAACTACCAAAGCTATTCTTTCAAGTTGCATATTGTATTTTGTAAACAGCTCTCTTCTTCCAATTAGAATAAAATTAATCAATATGACTCCAGCAGATTTGATGGAATTTAAAATACCTTCGAAAGCTCTGGGAACTTTTCAGCAATGATGTCTTTGACTGTTACTTCCTCATAGGGATTGGGTTCCTGTTCCTTGGGGACACCAGTGATTCTTATGTTTTGTTCTTCATTAATTCATCCCATGGTTAGACCCAACAGCAGTAGAAATGAGGGGCAGGAGAACTGTCCATGGTTGGAAACTTGTCACAAGTGGGGGGAAGTGGAGGGCAGTTAGGACACAGAAGGGACCACTAGGACAATGATAGCCGGAAATCATCACTCCAGACAAGAACTAAGTGCTGAAAGGAGGTAAGGGGATATGGGGGATAACTTTTCAGTGCCTATATTGCAAACTGTAACACCAAAAATGAAAGAGAGTGAGGGAAAGACTGAGACAGAGAGAGGCAAGCTGAGGAGAGAGGCGGGAGGAAACTGGGGACATTGGTGATAGGAAATGTACACTGGTGGCGGGATAGGTGATGGATTGTGTGACTGTAACCCAATCATGAACAACTTTGTAACTGTGTATCTCATAGTGATTCAATAAAAAAAAATTCAAAGTAGATATAAATATGATATAGATTTATAAAACAGTTAAGGGATCAGGGGAAGTTCTTGTGACATCTAAACTTTCTTCCTTTATCAATGGAAACTTTATAAAACAGGATTATCTATTTCCCCTGCCTTTTCTCACTCTTAGGGTCATCATAGGGAGCTTTACATCCACCTACTGATAGTTTATATACTACCCTAATCCAATAGTAATATGAGTGGTGATTCCCTTAGAATGCTACTAAAAACAAGAATAAAATTTTATGGACAGCAACATGTGTGAGGAAAAAGTACAGTAAGTACAAAGGAGGGAGTGATTAGTGCTATTTGCTGATGGAAAGGAAAACAAAAGAGGCCTGGAGAAGCCCAAGTTGAATCTTGAAATATGAAAATATATTCCAGACAAACAATGAGAAAGGGGCATCACAAGCTACAGCGGATGATATAAAATGCAGTTTCCTCTTTAGAACAGATATATAAATGCCTCTACTACTCAAAATTCTTCTGAAAGAGAGAGAGGAGAGAGAGAGAGAGACCTCAATTTCCCAATGTCTTCAGTTGCCTTGGCTGAAGAAACATCTCAACTTGAGTACTCCCCCTTCCAGAGAACACTCCAATGTACATCCAATGACTAGCAATGTGAGGAGATAAGTGCCCAATCCTCTCCCATCTTGGATAATCAGCGGGTATGTATCAAGTTTACAACCCTGGAGTTGGCTAGTTAAGGCTTTTTAGCTTAGTGTTCTCTGGAAGGGGGAATCAGTTGAGATGTTTCTTCAGCTGAGGCAATTGAAGAACTCACAGCTGCTTCTCCCAGAAGGGAGCATAAAATGTCACCATGTCACCATGTCCATAACCATGTCACCGGACTGCATGCCAGGCTGTTTTCACTCGAGGCGCCCAGAGTGGGGCGGGTGAGAGCCTTCCCCACCCCAAGGGACCCAGCCCAGCAGCTGACATCCACTACTCAACCACCGCCACAATCCAGGCTGCTTTCTGAACACATCATAAG